CGGGAGGGAGAAGACCGAAAGATTCTGCGTATTATAGCGGGAGACCGGGAGAAGCAGGCGCAAGTGGAACGGTTGGAGCATCGAGTGTGAATAGTCCTGAGAGTCATGCTACGTGGTCTGCGATGAGTCCGGATGCTAGTCAAGGGGATGGAGCTGAGGCTGCGGCGGAGAGGAGAAGGAGGAGGAGGTTAGAGCGGAATGCTAGGAATCATCCTGGTGGTGGGACGGGGACGGTGGATTTTACTTGACGAGACCACAAGGCGAAGTCGAGTTGATTGGTGGAGTTATGATATACGGAATGAGATGAGATGTTGGATGTGATGTGAATTGGGTTCTCTACGGAGCGGGCGTTCTAGGATGTAAAATAGGATACAATGTCCTGGATACTTGCATAATGTGTTGGGCATTGGAGGCATGTATGATGTTGTCTTCGAATATATGGAGATAAGATCATGAATGGCTATGATGAGGAATGGATGCATATACCTTTTTGAGATTGTAATGAAAATGTTCGTACTGCATGAAGTTCCGATGGTTGTGACTTGACAGGGTGGTTCTCTGCAGCTGCTATGCCTGCTTCTAGAACACGTCCATTGCTGAATACTGTATGCCCAACGGAAATGGCCAACTTCCAAAGGTACCCGATGACCACTCTCCTCCCCCCTCGCTCGAACATTGGCCTCATCGTCCGCACGTGACGAAGACCACTTCATCAACAGATACCTACCGCACTTCTCAATCAACAATTCTCCCATCAATTCTTAGACCACTTATACATGCAATCTATCATCTGATTGAGCCCTGAACCAATCCAATCAATCCTGAAATTTGATGTCGTCGTGATTTAATTATTTCGTCCTCAATCGCAAGGCTCAAAATGCCGAGCCGAAAGCCTCGTCGCGTCCAACATCGCGTAAACAAACTTCCTCTTCTAATTTCTCAACACCAGTTTCTCCCTCGCAGCCATATTTCCTCTCCTCCCAACAATCGCACACAACTTCCTAACAACTTCACGACTTCAATCCTATATCTGCCAAACACAACCACGACATAATGCCATCCGCAACACCCTCAGAAACAAATCGCGACGCATCCCCCTCTCCTCCTCCCCAACCACCAACCTCCCACACCCCCGGCCCCCGCGCCCTCGCCTTCCAAGACCTCTACAACAAAGCCTTAGACAATACATTGAAATCCATCTCCTACACCTCATTCTCATCCTGTTTCCCGCAGATCTCCGTCCAAGCCTCGCAAGCTTTACAAGGAATGCATTCGGGCATGATTTCGCGCCTGGGAGATTTCGCTAGAGAGGAGTTTGAGATGATATTGCAGGAGAGGGGCGTTGTGGAACGGTTGAATTCTCTCGATGATCTTATTTCAGACGCCAAGAAACGGAAAGCTCGAGCAATCGAGGGGGAAATAGAAGCAGAGGCGCCGATTCCGTAAGTCTTCTTTCCCTCACTTACTTCTCACTCCTCGCACCTCAGCCTTTAAACCAAAAATGCTAATGAGATACTTGTGAAGGCCTCATACGTTACCACCAACCCCATTGATCCACAGCCATACGTTGCCGTTGCATATAGCGCAAAACAGCCAGCTAAATGCACGACTTCAAACCCAACAATCGATGAATGCAAATTTGATCCAGGATATTAGAGCGCAACGAGAGGAGATTGAGAGGTTGTTGAAGTTAGTCGAACAGGCAGGTGGGGACTTGGATAATGCTGGAGAACGCCTTCAGGAGAAGGTTGGGGAACTTAGTAGTGAGGGGAGGGAGGTGGGGGAGGTTTTGATGAAGATGGAGTCGTGAGGATTCTAGATACATGGACAGGAGTAATTAGACGGCTACGGGGGCCACAAGGACAGAGAGCGTGTCGAATTGCTATTGACGAAGGAAGAGAGGACCTTGTTGGGCAAGAGATGCATTATGACAAGGCAATGATATACGATGGGGAATGAAGGGAAAACCATTTTATGGAATTCTATGGATTGGTTGGGAAGGACTGTTGGAGTATTGTACAGCGATACGGTGGAGTGGGAAGCTCGGACTGAGGTTACGGTTGTCGATGCTGCTTGAGAAATGGGAATCACACCGGCCAATGGACAAGGCTGCTGCTGGATCATATTGGTGGAGCACTGCTGTTACGTGGGAGGTCTGGAATAGATGAGGAGGAGAGAGAGACGTGATGCTGCTGTATCGGGCAATAGTCTTAGGCCTTCTGGTGCGGCTGGCAAGTTTGTGCCTCCTCATTCGAGAAATAAGCAGTAGATATCCCCCCTGCTATGTTAGACTCTACGATTGGAAGTGGGAAGGAAAGAAGTCAAGGACAGTGGGCTTCGTGTAATTACATAGACGTTTTATGATCTTGAAAACTGCAGAGTTGCTGATCATGAATTGAATGCAACGAGAGAGAAAGAAAGAAACGAAGTCAAGTAGTCTCTTTCCGGAAAACTCCTAGCGTATGTTTACACGATGGCTGCCTTGACTGTGATACTATGAGAGTTCCATTTGCTAAGCCAACGCCCCTTTCCCAAGCGAGGCCTCCCGTTCACTTATGCCAGGAAAAACTATAGCAAATCCAGTGCATTTTATTCTCTATCCTAGAATACAAAGCCCAACCCGAAATCCAATGCTGGTACCCACGCCATGCTAGTTTACCAAAAAGAACTCCATCCTAATTTGCAAGGTGCTCCTCTATCCTCTATCTTCCCCACACAAGGATCAGTTTCAAGCCTCAGCACCAGCCTAGACCCTCACCTCCCTCTGCACAACCATCACCCCTTCCTGGTCCCCAGCTTTCCCTCCAATTCTCCCAGCCATCGACCTCTGACTCCTCTCAACCCGCTCCGCACCAACAACCTCCCCATAATCCGGAGGCCCCTCCCTCTCAAGTTTTCCAGTAGCCCAATCAACAACCCACCTCTTCCCCTTCATAACGACAAAATTACTCTTTCTCGGACTCCGATGCGTCAATACCGCCATGCAGCGTTTAGCGTACATCATGTCGTAGAAATGTGTCCATTGGTGTTGGGGTCGCCATTTACCGTCGCTGGTTATGTTTGGGTTAGGGGCGTTTGGGGTGGTTGAAGAGAGATAAGGGGAGGAGGACATTGCGTGCCGAGCGCGAGAGAGGAGTGAGGAGCGTGGTGGAGGGTTTGTTGAAGTTGAGGTGGGGTTGGGCGTCGAAGGGGTTGTGGAGGGGAGGGATGAGGACGTGGTTGTTGGGCTGGAGTCTGTTGTGCTGGGTGAAGCTGAAGGAGGGGAGGCAGGTCTTGAGATGGCCGGAGAGCTAGAAATCGATTCCAGTTCCTCAATCATGTCATCTTGATCCGCTATAGTTGCAGGTCTCGACACCTCAGCTCCCGAACCTGAAGCTTGTGTTTCTGCAACAGTCAAGCTGGGAAATTGTGTGGAAATTATCTCCTCCTGCTCTTGTACCAGAGCTGTGTTGGCTGGAGCATCGCTAAAGCCTGCTCTTGCTACTCGACGGCGGGTTCGTCTAGGTATGCTCAAGTCTCGTGGGATCTCTCGATCGTCGAGGGGTGGAGCGAGGTCGATTGCTGCGAACAGGGATTGGAGCCATAGGACGAAGGTCTCGATTTTGTGACACGAGAGGAGGAATTGGTCGGCTTCGGCGCGGACACGGATTACGTAGCGTTTCCTGGGTGAAGTCAGTATTGGCCTTGGTGTCTTTGTGATCAGAAGCGAGGCGCATTCTTTGAATTGAGGAGCAATTGCCTTTCTCATGCACCGGAAAATAAACAAGGAACCATTCACTCACTTCAGATAATCAGCAGCAATGCCAACGTCTGCATGCTGAAGATTGTAACTCCGCAAGAATTGTCCACGCTTCAGTCCTGGAGGGAAATCCGGACCAGTCTTCTTTCCACTTGCATCCCTCGCCGATGAGAACATGCCTGGCTTCTGGTATTTGTAGAATGACAATGCAGTTCCTTGTAATGTAGCCAGAACCTTGTACCAATTCCTATCTTGAGCCTTGTGTACAGCGCCTTCGAGTTCCATCTTCTTCAGAAACACACTCTGCACGCTTATCTCGCAAGAATATTGTGGCAGAACCTCTCGTCCTTCATCTTCTCTCGGTTGGATATTGAACCGTCGTCGCAATGTAGGAGATTCGAGCAAAGCATCGTAATTTGGAGGAGGCTCGGGAGGCTCGGAAATACCCTCTCGCTGATAATACTCGTCCATTGAGTGTCGTGCTGAACTCTGCCGACTGGTATCGATCGATTGTCGCCTCGCACTCGAGATAGCACCACTGGCAGCTACATGACTGCCACTGCTCTCCTCCTGAACCATTGCCAGCGTGGCAGGTCTGGCCTACAAACAATCGGATGACGAGGAATATCGGTCAGGCATGATTTGCACCTTTTTATCTCGCGCACAGTGTTCGTGCGGTGTAGACGTTGCTTTTCACGAGGGGAGAAAAAGAAATACCTAGGGTGCAAGCAGGTTATAGGGGAGAGGGGCGGTATAGCACATATAAGTGGGAGAGGCATCATAGTGTCGATCGAGTCCGCTGCCGTCCGTCTTGCGCGGATATCGGGTGAATTTCCCTTGGGCTCCGAGGTAGAGTCGAAGGTTTGCTCGTAACTGCTGGAACAGGAAGGGACCGACAATGCCGTGGGCAGAGCAGTGGACAAGCGGTCCCTGCATGGCTCGATGGAATTGCATACGAGCTGCATACAAGGGCAACAGTAAGCTGAAGATGAGTGGACGCTCCAAGAATGGGTGAGAAAATGGGCTGTGGAGAGAACAGGCGATTGGTGATGAGTTGTGTGGGGGAAGCAATTCAGGCTGTTTGACGTTTGTAGAAGGTGGGGGAAAACGTGACTCGGAGTATTGAGAAGCGAGCCAATCTTCGGCCGAACTTTTAAGTTCTTCACATTGACTCAAAATAGCAGTATAGATTTAAATAAGCAGAACTTCAGCATCTCAACGTGAGTTGGCACACCAATTCATTAATCAATCCCGCTTCGGCGGTTCTATGGTGTAATGGTTAGCACATCGGATTTTGATTCCGGGGATCTGGGTTCGATTCCCAGTAGAACCTTTCACAGGGTTCTTCTTTTTTGGTTTTTTTGACAAGTGTTTGGTTTTTTCGCTCTGTTGTCGCAATTTGTGATTCTAGCTTGTGTGGCTCCCAGGCTTGCGAACTAGCGCGCGCCCGATTGACTGCCCTGTGAAGCGAAAATATTTCGCCTCCCGAGCCGAACTCCTCTACCTACAATATTTTTTAAGTTTTGAATCAACGAAGCCTTGCGACGAAAAAGTAGTCATCCCTCGGGAATCGCATCTTTTATTACCCTTGTTGCGTTAATAATGGGCCTTACTATCCCTGTCCATCTTCCAGTGAAAATCGAGAAAGGCTCGTGCGTCCTCCAAGAAAGGGCGGCACCATGTTCACAGATGCCAGCATCCCAGACCAGAGCATCAGATCCGACGAACCTGGCACGCCGAGGGCTATGGCATTTGCTGTGGCGTACAATGCGAGCATCCCAGCTTCCAGGACCGTAACACTCGTCCAGTATCGACGCTTTACAAGCAATGGATATATGAGGCGCTTCAGAAGGTGATAGCGAATATGAGAGTGTAGACAAGTCGTTGCGAAGCGGCGGGGTTGAACGATTAAAAGCACGGCGAAGAGCCCGGCGATGACCGTCGCGTACCATTCAATGGCATTCATCTTGAATTTGTTTTGGTCGATATTATCGTCGGCTAGGCATCGCAGAGATTCTTCATCCAGAAGGTGAGATAAAAGCCAAATTCGAATTTTCGATAATATTCCTGAATGTTCATTTTTGGATGTTGAGTCCAAAACTCCTGTCTATCGCCATCACCGCCAGAGTATCCCGGGCAACTTCTTCTTGTGTCTACTCCGTCAGAGAAATCTTCTCGAAGAGATGTCACGTGGTATAGAAGTTGTTCCATTGGCATCGACTTGTGAAACGACACACTCTTATTATCGAGGGCCTGAGCTTGGTGTTTCGCCGCAGAAATGACGATTCATTCCTCGCTGACAGTCAACCGCTGTGCATCCATCCGCTCCTCAACGGCTGAGACCATACCATATAGCCTCTAAACATGCTACATCCGAGTACGTTCCTTCCCTCGTTTTCTATTTACTACATCCATTTTAAATTTCCACATTCTACTTAGCCCTTAATACTATTATTTGACTGCTTATTCCATCCATTCTTTCAGTTCTGCCTTCGTCACTCCAGGCCCAACATTCCCGTTGACCTGAACAGAGTCTCCTGTTGCGCACCCTCTTTTATGTTCATGAATACCTGAACTTTTATGATTGCCGTTGACCTGAAGACTTTTGTCTGTAGAGGTCGATCCCACGTACGAATTGTTCGTGTCTCGAACAGCTCCAACATCGCCGTTGAATTGAGTACCTCGTCCTTTCGATTTCTGATCGGTATAAGAATGGCCGCTAGGCTCAGTAGGCGGAGGTTGATAGAGGTTGGGGATCTTGGCTACAGAATCTGAGAACAGCAACATCAGGCTTGGAGGACATGAAGAGTTGTAATCTTGACGCACCTGGGCCAAGGGGTGCCCGAAGCACAAGTGAGCTCGACGTTGGCCGCTCTGCAATTTGATTTTCTGGACTCATCTTGGTGTTGGTGGTGCTTTCCTTCTGCGTCTGATACGTCAGACCCTTAAGCAAGTTAATTTTGAATATCATTGTCTCGACTAACCGTTTCTTTTTCAGCTTTACCGTTAATCTTATCGATTATACTCCGAACGTTCGGCATTCCTGCCATCTCTCGTTCTACTAATATCTCAACTCCTGCTCCGATTGTCTGTAATTTCTTGGTATGATTAACAGTAATGCAGAGAATCAGTGCGGTTTTCTCCTTTTCCAATCTTTCGAAAGACGTCAGTATACGCTTCTCATTACTGCCTACAATTGCTTTCCACACCCTTTTCCTACTCGAGCCTGTAGTGTAGTCTCTGTGAATAGCCCCCAAAGCTTTGTGCAGATGTTTGATTTCCGCTAGCGTATTTTGTAGTTGGGTGTCGACAAGCAGCGTGTGTAGGTCTTGATATTCCTCTATAGCTTTGGAAGCAGCAATTATTTGGTTTATTTGGGCGGTATACCGGACGACACGTTTTGGAGCGTCCTCGACTCGACTATATATTTCTGATATTGTCCCAATCACTCTCAGGCTGTAATCGATGAGCTGAGCGGCGCTGGCAGCCACACCCAGGACTGCTATCAATTCGATGCCTGACATGGTTGTTTTGATACCGATAACGCTATCACCGTGGTTGATGCGGGGTATGTATCATGTTCGAAGGGTTTGTGTGGACAGGCAACAGCACTCGAAGAAAGAGGACCAATTTTGGGACAAGAAAATCTCAGGAGGCTCAACTGTATACTCCAGCACAGTCGGGCGCAGCAAGGGCAAGAGGCTGCACCAAAAATGGATCTGCCCAACGTCTTGTGCAACATTGGGCCTCAACTCTATTCTGATTCGTCGTCGAATGAGGCTCGTGTACCCCTCCTTCATGCCGGCCGCCTCACTTTTCGCTCGAAATAGCCAGTCTAACAGCCTATTTCGAGGCAAAAATCTCGACTACCCTAGAGTCCTAACCACAGAAGCATTTCAAATCTGTCATTGGCCTGACTCAACATCCTCCAATCATTCCTGGTTTCAAGGTGCAAGCCTTGAACGAATCTGTGCAACTCCGAGAGACACGACAGCTTTTATTGGAAAGTTTAAATTGCATCAAAGAAGGTGGTGTACAACAATTCTGATCGCTTAATCAGGGGTGGAAGCCTCCACGTCCAATCTGCTCGGCAACCGACATGTGCGAGGAGAGTGCATATGCACGACGCCCGCCACACCTCTGAGAAGAAGTGCTAAAGAAGCATTCTAGAACAACTGGGGCGAACCACTGGTAGAGGCTCGAGTAATATTTGGATGCAGTCATTTGGAGACGATGATACAAACTCCTGTATCAAATCCAAGATACGTCTCAGCAGCAACCAGCAACATGTGCGGACCCGGAGACAATAGGTGTTCAACTCCTCCAGCAGAGTGGAAATTGATTTCTCTGTATGATCACGACATTCTTCACTCAATTCTATTTATCCAAGGTCCAGAATGGTAGGATCTAGAACACGTCAACGGACACCATCACGCAATGGAGGTCCCCAAGCTACCCAGAGTGATATGGCCGCCTTCGACACTGCAACACAATACAACAATGGCCGGGACATCATCCGCTCGTTGAATATCTACAACAACTATCACAACGTATCTCCTTCCCAGACTACACCAGCCCTCACAGAGTTGAGTGCAAGCCAACTTCCACCAACTCCTAGGACATCACAACCAGAAATACCAGTACCGCCTCCGTCAGGGCTCTTTGCAGATGCAGTTGCTTCATTGTCTGGAAGTCACGAGCGCCAACAAGGTCCAGTAGAGCCAGAGGATTCAATTGAAGTCTCACGTTCTGCCGAACCCTCGGAAAACGAGCTCCTTGGGGACCAGACGCACGATGGAAGTCACCAACGTCGAGACCTTCCTATGGAGCTTCAGAACCTCGATGGTACTCCACGAGGAGCAGCAGCCCTCGACAACAATCGTGTTGGAATTGGGGACAGGCGGCAAGAAATTTCTCTCCCAGGAGGACGGCGCCGACGATCGAGGCGATACATCCCAGTTACCATCTTGATGATCCTTATCGCTGGCGCTGCTATTACTAGCGGGATCCTTGTCAGTGAAAAGAATCGCAAACATTCTGTTGCTTCCACAGTCTCTTCAACGTCTATCCAGAACGCATCAAATTCAACAGACATTGGCAGCACATCTTCGGGGCAGGTTTCAAGGCAGACGAACTCATCGACGACTTTGTCCAACACCTCTCGAGCATCTCAGCAAACGAACACCGCCTCAAAGAGCTCTGCTCTCAAAGTCCCCACCTCAAACACTGCCAGCACGACGTCAGCTAGTCTTGGGCAGATCCTTTCCACTTCATACACATCTGCTGGCCCAGAAAGCACCTGCACATCGTAAGTACAATCTGATCTTGCCTTCATCACTTTCCCAGACACCCTTCCCCCTTTTCTAGACACCATTCTAAATTGCTGAAGCAACTGCCAAGACTCGACTACCCTATCGTCGACCCCTGTCTCTCCGAACACCCCGACCACTACAACCTCAAAAGCACCCGCCATCACTCCCACACCAACTCCCAAGCCTGCAACTACATCCAATGCTGTATCATGCAGCATAGATAGCAACTGTCCAAACGGCGAGCAATGCGCCCAAGGAGCTTCGACCTGCTTCTTTTGCACATACGCTACAGGTGGAATGCGTTGTTCGGGAGGGCAGTATAATTGTTGCGATCCTTATCAGTGTATTGCTGGGATCGATACGTTCAGTACTTGTACTTTTATTTCTTGATTTGTATACTCTTGTATTCTTCGGGTTGGATTTCTTGATCTGTGTACATTATTGTGCTTTTAGCGGTGGGGTTCTTAAAGGTGGGAAATGAACGAGGAGAGCGATATCTCAGCATCTTAGATTCGGGATTAGCCTTGTGTATGAAGGGTACTGGTGTTGTGTACAGTGGTATCAGAGAAAAAGCATCAGCTCGATGGCTGTTTGGACCGTCGCCAGGTTCTTCTGGCTTACCTCCTTTTCCACTTGCCGAGGAAGCTGGATACGAAAGACTCTTTGCCATGCCGTCTCGCAAGCTTTGTGCTCAACTCTACACTTTTATGAAGCGACTTGAAAGACAGACGTCTTCCTGGGACATTTCCCGCTGAATCCACAAAGTTCTTCGAAGGTGGCTCATGAAAAGTCATGTGTTATTTCTAGCTTGCGAAGCTGGCCAGTTGGCTGGAATGAAAGAAATGGCTAAAAGCAAAACATCGTGTTGAGTATCTTGCAAGTGAAGAGGGATGCGATCCCAAATATTAATCGATCTCTATTTTCGCCGAAGCTTCAAGCGGTGGAGTGCACAGCGCGTTAATTTTTATGGCCCCGGGACCGTCTCTATGACATGCATAAAGAATCTCTTCTTTCAACCCCT